TTTCATACTCTTTTCCCTGTTTTCCCTGGCAGGCAGAGCTGTGTGATCAAAGAGGAAATAAGGCAGGAATAAAAGTACAGAGGTGTTATTTTATTCAGATTTGTTTGCTACCTACATACACTATTACAACAAAAGAAATATGTCTGTTTGGACCTTTGCTGCTACTTAATGGGAAGGTCAGGATTTTTATTAAATAGGCAAAAATATTTTAAGAGGAAATTGGGGAGGAATTTATCAATTGTATCACAATCATAGAATTTTATTTGAAGAGAAAGGCAATCCATGCCCCACTGGGTTCTCCTTTCAGAGATATTTCCTTACTTAAGCATAGAAACAGAATGACCTAAGGCAGGACAGAAAGCAGGACTTAAGTCATAAAACAGGACACGAGTCTTAAATGCGTGTATTAGTTAGAAGGAGAACAAAAGAAAATGGAAGAAGTCAAAACCACAAGTTCATTTGTTGGTCGTACAGAGGTGTTAAGTTTGAAGCTCTACTACAGCTAACCACAAGTATGTTACAGGAAATTTGGACACTTAGAAGCTTTAGCAAGGTATTTTAACTTCTTTAGCATAGCAACAGGGGGCTGTAAGGGGGTTGTGATTCGAGTAACCAATCAATGCTAACAAGTTACATTTCCGTGTTTTGCTGTTTCTGACGAGAATATATAAACTTGTGTTTTTTTATATGAAGCTGTTCAGATGTGGCTACAAATATAGTGCTCTGAACCTTTGCGCAAAATAAACCAACTTCTTTTGATTCCGTGGTCTGAGTCCTGTGATTTTCTGCAATAGACCAAGGATGGGCAAAAAAGCAGCTGGAGCAGAAGTTACTTCTGACTTCCTGCCAGCTTCCCCACTGGGTTTCCTTATAGGAATTTGACGGAATATTGAAAACCTCCCCAGGAGGCAGTTAAGTGGCTGCTGTTGGGGGGAAGAGGGAGTGAGGGATTGCCACACTGGCTGGGAAACTGTCATGGAATGTTCAAAATGAAGATCATGTGACCATTTTAGTAGTAACACAGCAGCAGTCAGTAGTAATGAAACAGCCCTAGCATACCCAAATTTCATTCCCTCAGGAATCATTGATCCTGGATTTTGGACACATTCTGTAAATTAGCCCACTTGAGGTGTTTTGGTTAAAAAATTGTAGGTCTATGGATGCACCCTTCCATCCAATTAAAAGTCATGCTGAGATTTAATAGTATATAGTCTTCCAGATAAATCCTGTCTGTTACATTATATTACCATTTTTACTTGAATAAATATCAATTGAGGAAAAATGTTGCATACTCTAGTCATGTATCTGGGATTATTATGATTATTGAGATTTATTTTTCTTGCTTTTTTCCAAGTTTGAATTAATGTCTTATGCTTTGGTTCTTACAGGCCTTTCCTGATGTGGCACTTGACCATAAAATGAAATGGCTTGTATTGTCCCAAATTTCTATATCCAATTTTTGGTTAGATCTCAGCCCTGCCTAATATTGCCAGCTTTATCAGTCTTCTGGTATCAGAGAAAGAATGGACACCTTTTACAGCATTTGAGATATGCAACTGATACTTCTTTAGGAAAGGAGAATAAAGTCACTGTAGAAAATCTGTCCAAGTTATCTGTGGATATAAAGAAAATCCGTAGGCTGAAGCCATGGGTGCTGTCAGAAGAGGTGTCATACATCAAAGAAATAGCTAATATTTTGCAAACAATTGGAGCTGATGGACCTTCAGTAGCACATATTTTTGAATGCTGTCCTGAAGCCATTCTTTGTAGTCCTACCAATATCACTTGTCAGAGAGATTTGTGGTTATCTGTCTGTCAAAATGAAAAGCGGTTAGTGGAGTTAATAAAACGGTTTCCAGATGCTTTTTTTAATGTTGAATATTATGAAAATCAGAAGGCGAACATTAGATTCTTCAAAGCATTGGGGCTGAAGAATGCTATCATCTGCCGGTTTTTAACAAGTGCATCAAATATTTTTTACAATCCTGTTGAGAAGAATAAGCATATGATAGAAACTCTGCAAAGAAACTATTTAAGACTAGGTGGTTCACAGGAAAATTGGAAAAACTGGCTGCTGAAATTATTGAGTCAAAATCCATTTATTTTATTAAATACTTCTACTACTGTCCAAGAAAACCTGGAGTTTCTTCAAAACAATCAATTCACTGATTCCGAAGTTCTAAGCCTATTGTCCAAGCTCAAAGGATTTATTTTTCAACTTAACCCTAGCAATATGCAGAGTAGTCTTTTATTTTCAAAAACCATCTTCAACTGCAATGATCAAGAATTAAAAGAGCTAATATTACAGTGCCCTGCCCTTCTCTATTATTCAGCTCCAGTTCTGAAAGAAAGGCTAGATGAACTATTGAAGGAGGGAATTTCTATAGAACAAATTAAAGAGTCACCCACCGTTTTAGAATTATCAACAGAGATAATTCAATATAGGATTAAAAAATTAGATGCCCTAGGATACAGTCTGAAGAATGGAACTATACAATATCTCAATGGAACAAAAAAAGATTTTGAAACTACTTATGGAAAGATACAAGCAAAAAGTGAGAGACCTATATATAATCCAGTTGCTCCTTTGAATATTGAAGATTAGTTTCCAGAACCTGCTCAATAAAATGACAGGACCAGTTTGTCTTTTACCATTCAAATAAATTGGCTATAACTGCTACTTAGAAAATGAATTTGTATTCAGGCCTTTTTTTTCTGAATCAGTGTTTCTAAACATGCGACAGTCATGGAATTTATAGGATCAAACTAAAAGCCTGTCTGATTTAACATTGTTCCTACAGTTGCCAACCACATTTCTGTGTGAAACCTACAAGTTAGACACTAGTCCAGAAGCAGCGACTGCTCATGTTCTTTAGGAACTAATATTAAAAGGCATTTTTCTGATGTGAAAGTAATCCATAGCAATTGTGCCTAGAAACTACAGGTAGCCCTATATTCCATGGATTCAATTTCTCTTCAAAACAAATATATGTGAGATGGGATTCTGTAGTTTCATGAAATAGTACCTTTATTTGCATCTAAAGGTCTTTCACTTAAGAGGAAATATTTTATTTTCTGCATCCTGTATAAACGTAGATTTTTTTTTAATCATAGAGGTGTTTTTATAAATCTCAACATTTTAACTTTTCATAATAGCAATTATTTATTAAATTTCTATGCCACTCATCTCCTTACAAGATAACTCTGGGTGGCTAGTCCTTTGATAATTACAATTGTCCTTTTTTGCTGCTTAACACTACATTATATTTAACATGTAAGCAACAGAATAGGAAATAGTTTATGTAAGATTATTATAGGATTGTCAACAGAATATATAAATTATCTAGGAAAGGGAAGGACGAGTTTTAAACTTCTGCCCTGATAGACAAGATGCACCTAGCATTGGTTTAAGTTGTAACATGCATGCTTTTTGCAATATTTAAAATAAAATTTAAACATATTGAGAATATATTGTTTTTTGTATAAATAGGTTAGATAATGCTTAAAGTGATATGTAATTTCTGCTAATTAGAAATATCTTCTTGACTATTGTGTGCCATCAAATCAGTGTCGTGTCTTAGTAACCACATAACCTTTTTCTTTCACTGATCTTGAGTATATGCATAATCTATTTTATCAATATTCTTTGTGGCATTTTAAATAATTTGGAATCAACCTGGTACATATGAATTCAATTATTGTAGGAATGAAGACACAAGGAACAGAATGGCACATCTCACAACTACATAGAAAGCCTAGCTTTGAATTTGCATGTAGCACATACTATGTTTATTTAATTATGCTATTTTTCTTTCTAAATATCAAGCATGACTTTAATATTTAGAACTACATGAAAATTCATGCATTTAAAAAGAAATCAATGAATAGAAATGGGATGAGGCCCTGGAGTTTAGTACCGTATTCTTGATTTCATAGGTTCCACTCAATTGTCCCCAAGTAGTTTCTTCAGCTCAATGCTGAATGATAATGCAATCAAGAATCAATACAAAAAATGAGGGTAATATTTCATTATGTCATTTTGTCCATCAGTAAAAAGACATTTTATGGGATCCATGGGTTTATCTGGACAGCATCTCACAAAGTAGTTGGCATGGGAATGTTACAAGGCATCCGTTTATCAGAAAGCACAATGAGATTTGCTTCAATGAAAAATACAATTTTCCAAACATGTTGGATATGCACAGGGAGGGATAAGGAATCTGATGGATGCTAAGAGAGATGCCTGCTGGGGCATATTGACATTGGCAGCTTACCATACCAGATTTCTCTATTCCTTATTCTAAGCACATTAATCCAGATACTGTACCTTAAGATCTTTTATCATTCATTAAAAGTCAACGTCAAAGAAATATCAAATGTCAGTTCTTAATGACATCAATATGTTTGTAATTTTTATGCCTGTGGCTAATCCTTCTATAAATACAATTTCCATATGCAAACCATTCAGGTGTTCAGAACACTAAAACCTTTAGTAAACATTTCTAAAAAGAACGCATACACATTTTATTCTTTTTACATATGCTTTAAGATACACATTTATTAGGGAATGGTTGAGTAGTAAAATGACAAGAGTATCTAAATGCTAGCCAAGGTATCCAATATGAAGATTGTCTGATAAACTCTCTAATCTAGGCATTGTTATTGTAATCCAGTCTCCTAATTAAATACTATTTACAAACTCACTCCTAGTTCATATGGTATTATTATAAAATCTGTTTTATATTTTTTTTTAGTTGAAGCTTTAATAATGCCTTTGGGCCATAAAAATATTCTGTGTTCTGGTGAGCACATGATGTTGCTTGATATTGTCAAGCTAGTGGTTTAGCAAATCCAAGTCAGTTACCAACAGCACAGTATTGATAATTCTTTTCAACTAGAGATGCTAAGAATTAAATATAAATCCATTCCATGAACAATATATGCTCTTATCACTGAGCTATGGATCTTTGGCAGGTAAAATACAAATTGCAACAATATAATAAATTATATCAGATTAATTTAATTTATGAATATGTAATTTTAGACAAGGGAGAGGTTTTGGTCATTACTTTTACAAGACATCATCTGTTAATTTAGTGTTTATAATCACAACTATTCCAACCAGATTTGCATGTTTTCAACATACATTTTAAGAAACATTGCATACAGAATAATCATGTGAACTTCAGTCTTTTTTAAGGACTACCAAAATGCTACAAAGTCAATAGAAACATGCTAAAGAGCTTCTAAATGAAACTGAAAGATATCAATCCAATAAACCCACAATATAGCCCACTGAGTACAAAGGACTACCTATCCTGATTTAATGGATTAGGGATTAGGAACAAGACAGGAAGAGACGTATCTACTGTATGTCTTGCTCAGAAAACTTTGAAATTGTATGCATGAAATACGTTTCTCTGCAAATCACTTGTTTTTATCATTATTGGTCATGGGTGCCATTCAGCAAACCTATCTGCTGAGGTATTATTTGTATAAAGTATTTTTATGCTAATTATCACTGAAAATGTAAAACATAATTCATCAACTTCTACAAAATCTCTAGAGATAATGGGCGATACTCGAGTAAACAGATTATGCACAGCAACTGCTGTATTTGCATTATGTACTCAGGAAATAAGATCGTACACATTTGTACCTTGAGGCTATAAATCACAGAAGTGTTTTTATTTTACAGCGGAAAGTTACTCAATATTGTCTTAATGTAAACTTGGAATTAATTTTCAGTTAAGCAACCTAAAAACATAAAGGGCTTTTCATTTTGCAGGTGAGAACATCAGTAAGCTACACCTGAGATTTAGCAGTCTTTCTTTGTCAGTATCAACTGATTAAAAAAGTGTAAAACTCCTTCTACAGACTGCTTTGAAATGACAAGACATTACAAAAACTTTAAAAGGTTCTCTAAGTAAAAAATAGATTGTTTTTCACCATAAGGCATGAATGATTTGACTCAATATACTATACATGCGTGTGCGCACACACAAACACACCCTTGTGACAGTTGACCTCTAAAGAATTTAGTGTGTATAAAAATAGTTTGAAAAAGCAAAGATACATAAGGACTCTATAGGGAATTTAAGGACTGTTTTCCAAAAAATATAGACATCATAGGCTTGAAGCTAGAACATCAATGTATCTGTGTATGGCAGAGGCAACCAATTAAGGGCATAATCAGGCTAATATTTAAGCACTTTAATGCTAAAATTATTTTAAAGGAAGCTATATCATCAGAACTGTGAAGTGCTTAACTTTTTGCCAAGTCATTCCCTTCACTTCTATTTTCACATTTTTAATTCAAGGTTTTGAAAAGTGAATTAATGTTCAAACATGAGCCACTCCTTCAGATCCATGTACTTGATTCCTTTTTTTAAAATCAAGTGTAACATTTCACCAGACAAGTTCCTGAAGAAATCTAAAGTTTCTGTGATACTGCTTATGTCCCTCGTAGGAGAAAGTAATTCTTTTAGTTCTTTAGATTTTCCTCCATAATGGTGACCTTACAGCAATCCAAATCGTGTAGATCCCATAGCTACACAAGGTTCTCATACAAACAGTACTGAATCTCTTTAATCAGATTTATCCTTTTTCTTCCCAGTTAAAGGCACTTTGCTTGAGATAGCAGATCCTACAGCTGTAACACTTCCTGTCACAACTGAAACACTTCCTTTAACTAATCCCACTCCCAAGGAAGGCACAGCTGTAACTGCTGTTTTGGTCACTTCAAAGCTTTTCCCTCCTATCCATGCTACACCACCAACTGTGGCACCAACAGCTCCCTTGGTTATGCTGAAGAGGCCACCAGTCACCCGGGTAAGCATGCCAGGCTGTTGTTGTGGATGATCTTTTACTGAATCTAAGGAAGAGAAACAATGTCAGTACTCAGAATTAGATTAAATATGGTAGAAAAGCATCACTTGCAAATGAAAGTCCCAGTGAAATTTTGCTCTACAACTCTTTCCTATGATCTATCACCAGCAGAAGAGCATTTGGGGGGGGGGGGGAATAGCAAGAGTCTCCATATTTTCTAACAATACGAAAGAAAGTTCTGAAAGAGTTTTGGTTTTTTAAAATTATTATAATTATTAAGGGATTCAGCATTTTTGTCTACTAATTACAGGATAAAAAATTATTTTGGAGCAGGCTCTTTTGAGTTACCAATACAGAACTGATAACCATTTGCTGGGTTCAAATACGCTAAACTATGGGTTGTTTTAATTATGGCACATTGATCAATAAAATGGCGAATTATAAATCATTATCTATAAGGCACAATGAATATATTCATACATCACCTGAGCCAAAGTCAGGAAATTACATTATAACTCATCATAATTTGTTAATTCCAGTCAGGGACCATTTAGATATCTGACATACCATATTAAAATTTATTCCTAAAAGGTGAACTCAACATTATAGCCATTTATAGCATATTATAGCATATTATGCTTTCTAGCACTAGTAAGAAGCAAGCACCTTTCCAGGAGCAGAAAAAACAGCAACACTTCATTCACTTCTTTCATCACTTCTGTTTCATAACTGAACTTCAATTTATTTCAGAAGTTGGAGGTAAATCTAACTGAAAAATCTGAATTTCGGAATCTTTATAAAACATATTATCATGCAATTAAAAAAAAGGAGACGGCTTTTTCAGAAAAAATCACATCCATTGAATGCTTTCCAACAAAAAATCTTTTTTTTTTAAAAAGCGAAAATAGCTTATGGCTGTTCAGACATAGCTGAGCTACACTGTCCACCACAATCAGCAAAACCAGAAACACACACACACACACACACACACAAACACACACACACACACAGAGAGAGAGTGTGTCTATGTAACCAAAATGAAAGAAAGAAAACATATTTTGTCAAACATACCCGTATATTCCGGCGTATAAGGCGACTGGGCGTATAAGATGACCCCCAACTTTTGAGAAGATTTTCAGGGTTTAGAAAGTCGCCTTATACGCCAGAAAATACAGTATTTTGTCCATCTTATGTGTTAACCTCTCTTAATCAATAGTAAAACCGTTCTCTGAGAGTGGAAAGCAGGTATACAATTACCTTCCATGTGAATGGAAGACCAATGATGACAGAGATTCTGAAAAAAAGCAAGACTGCCCTGGAAGTCTGAATAGGACAGATTTCATTTGTGTAAATAAATTATCTACTTGCAATTACAGGTTAACAAATCATTTGGTTCAAAACCAAGCTGCACAAAGTAGTGCTCCTTTCTCTGCAGCAATATCACATGTAAGTCATAAAAAGCTATTTAAAAAAGGCAATATATTAGGAGAGCAACATATTAATATAACTCAGATTCTGCATAAACATAGGTTATTTTAATTGTATTAGCTTAGGTATTTAATCATGAGAAAGGCAGACTAGTAATTCAATGTTTTGCTTGAATTTGCTTTGAGGGTCTCGTGTGACCAAATTATTCTTAAGCAAGCAAAACACAACAAACATGTCTTTAAAAGTTAAAAAAAAGTTATTCTTTTTGTAATTTATAAAATCAGCTTTGATCATGAAATTAAAGTCTGCTCGTGGAGAATAGAATAACAATTTAAAAAGAACAATTTACTGCACCATATTTGTGTAAACAGTACTGTTATTGTAAAATGTACCTTCTGGGGGTTCACTGTTAAGATATGGAGGAATTTCTTGCTCATTCTTCTCTGTCTGGCTCATTATTGCCTAAAAATTAAGAAATGTATAGAATCCAGGTTATACCAGCTCTTTTCAATGTTCCTTTGAAAAGTTGCTCACTAGCAAGTCAATGAAATCATATTCTGGGACACATTTTCTATGGCAGTCCAATCACCAATACAATACTTTATGGATGTGAAGAACTAATATGTTAAAGCATTGATGGCAGACATAAGGCAGCTCAAAACTGGTATGCCACAATGTTTTGGGTAATATGCCAGTTCTTATACCTACATTTACCAACATCCGACAATTATTCTCAAAGCACGTCTTGCTATCATGTGATTTTCTAAGTTTGGGCAAAAATGGGATATGCTCTTGAGTGGCCACTGGAGCTTTCAAAAATCCTATGAGAAAAGGACATGCTTTCACATAGTTTCCGGAGGCTGCAAGAGGCTGCAGAAGAGCATTCTCCGAAGCCGCTTCAAAAATGAAGACATTGTGAGACCCAGAGAAGCCTTGGATAGGCTGCAGGGACCTATTAACAGAAAGGTAAGCGATGCATGGCAGATCCTGGGGAACGGTGCTAGGGGACCAATGAGGAAGGAGATAGAGAATTATTCCTCTTTTGTTTAGTTTGTATGTGTATGAAATGCCAGCAGAGTCAAGTTATGGATTTTATGAATTTTTGACACACCAAGCCCAAAAGGTTCACCATGACTGTACTAGAGGCACTCAGGCTAAGCAAAAATGTGCAACTTCCAGTGTTTTCTTCAAGTCCTAGGATGTAAGCTTTAATGTGGAAAAGAAAAAGTATTATTTAATTCAGAGTCAGTATAATTTGCATTCTTGTTTTGAACAACTGTTGTCGGTTGAAGAATTTCTTAAAGCCTGCCTTACAAGAGGTAAGGAAATAATAATTCTGTATTTTCAGCTGTGTTGTAATAGTGAAAAGCTGTAAATCAAGCCACAAATATAATTGGTTGAATCAAGATCTTTTACTGTAAATCCTTATATAATAATTTAACAAATTTAGAACTGATTTCTTCTTTTAAATAGGAAAAAGAGAAAGGTTAATCTTCATTCTCAACACCTTCTATAATTTTAATAACTAGACAACAATTGAGCCTATATTATCTCGAATATCAAGTGATTAGTATGTGAAAAAGTTAAGACTGTGGTTATGTCATTTATTAATGTATGACTACAATTAATTGTAATGCACACATTAAGAATACTGAAGTAATGTTGGAGTTGGAATTAGGACTTTGACATATTTGTGTAAAATGTAAAAGCACATAGTAAGTTCAGTCTCAAGGTAAAAATACATTCAGTGAATAATGTATTATTAAAGTTATAATAACCATGTAATATTTTAAAATAACAAAAGGATTTGCATCTAAAGATGACTCAACTATTCAATTTAGAAAATTTCATTTCTGTTTCATTCAAGATAAAGATGTCAGCAATCTGAAATGGCCTATCCTTATACAAATCAGATTGCCACATGAAAGCATTGCACAATCAATACTGTTAAGTAACATCTGATTACAGAGGCAATTCAATAAGGCTGAGGAGAAGTACTACTCTGGAGAAATCTTTCATGAACCTTATTCAGGATTATCAAGTTCATATGGAATTTCGCCAAGTAATGTGGTATTAACCTAACTCTCAACATGGAAAATAGAATTCACTATGAATAACTGTATACTGCCTACAGGTTTAACAGGACATAACAAAAGTTTCCACTTCCTGTCCTTAAATTAGAATACAACAGCATTACCTTGCTTTTTGAGCTATTTTAAAAGGTCACATGATTTACCTGATGCTAACAGGTGAATTAGAATAGAATACTAACTTTATTGTCACTTTGAATGTACACTAATCAGCATACGTTAAAATGAAATTTCATTGCATACAGCTCTTAAAGGATTACCATCTCCAATATATACTACATAAATATGACAAAAATAAATACAGAATTATGCATATACCCACATATATTATATGACACAGAAAACCAACACAGTCTCGTTCGGATTATGTATACATGTGCATGGCGACAAAAACAAATCTTGCGAGTTTATCAGACAGATGGCATAGGGAACAAAGCTATTACAGAATTCGGTAGGATTGTTTTATGTCCTTCCCACTGCTGTCTCAGCATGGTTTTTCTTTAACATACTCTGAAGAATTAAATAGACAGAGCTATACAAGCCTTTTACAGATTTCTTCCTTCTGTAAAAAGACAGCAAGAATTGAAGAATAGACTGTTTTTTTAAGTACTGTTAGTTGTCTAGATTAGAATAACAAGTCAACGGCAAAGTTTATCATTTTAGTATTGCTCAAAATCTATTTTAGCTTTTTAAAACCAATATTCAGGCAAATATTGAATTCTAAAATCTAGTAAGTAGCCAATTATGATTAGAATATTTTTAAAATAATTTCTACAGATTTATACAATATAAATCAAAATTATATTTCATGTAACCTTCATACCTATTGTATATAATGCCTAGTTATATTGTTTCAGAACGACAAGTTCCCTCATCTTATTTTCTTCTAATTAAATGACATCTAAATGACATCAATTTTAAGTTGCACAACCACCCCAAAAGTTTAACCTAAGTCAACAAAAACAATATATATAACAAGATATATCTTCTAGAAAAACTGCTGAACCAATTCAATAACTATAGCTTAGACAATGTAGTATCTGGTAATGTGTTCCTTTAGCAACACAGTTGTTCAGTTGCTATTTTTAGCCTACATGCTTAATGAAGAAGCATCTTTCCCTCTGGGATGTTTTGATGTAACGATAAAAACAGACAGCTGTGCCACACTTTAATATATACCTCATTATTACTATGCAGCCTAATAATGTAATTGCAATTACAAATACCAAATTATAAAAAATGCTAAATACTCCTATTTATTGTAGCAAATAACAATCTCCTGGAGCTAATATTTTTATTTAATAATTTTGCAATAATACACAAATAGGTTAGAGAAGCTTGCAGACACTGGAGCGATTCTGGGAGTTGCAGTCCCAACTCAGTTAAAGAATGTCAAACTGGGAAGGATAAAATGGAATCTAGGACTGTGTAATGCTTCAAGCTGATTTGGGAAAGGTGTTTTGAAACATTTGCAACATTTGTGACCCATTAAAGTAGCCTTGTCTTTTTCTAGGATGCATAATTCTGGAAAAAAGCACAACTGCTTTAATGAGCCATAGACAATGGCTGTATTCAAGCTCTCACAAGGCCTAAAGAGCTTCTCCCAAATGAAATCCAAAGCACTGCTGAGCTCTAGTAGAATATAGTTACACGGTGGAAATTGTACTTGAAAATTAAATATGTGCCTTTCTCTGCTTCTGCACATGGCCTTTACATGCTATAATGACTACATAACATGTAGAAAATTATGTGCAATCCATTTATATGTCCTGGTATATAACAAATAAATTTGACAATGTTGTTTAGGAAAGTCTGCCATCTTTCAGTCATGCAAAGATGATCTTTTATTTTCACTGCTCATTTTAGCACAAATACAACAATCATCTTTACATCCTGTAGATTCTTTCCCATATCTGTTGAAAGTCTAATTATAGTTAACATTCTTCAGCTATGAACTCACACTTGCCTCATCCCTTCTCTCATCCATAAGACAAAAATATTATAGCATAAATAGGAAACAATATGAATTCTTTAGATTGCCCAAGTCCTTTGGTTTTGGATAGCTAATAAATTCAAATAACATATAAAACCCAAAATATTATTTTGTTTCATTTCTCATTTCTAGGAGACGTTTCCTACCCAAACTTCTGCAAAAGAATTCTTCATATTTGTAGATAGGATGAATATTACACTATGCAACAATAAAATATTTGACTAAAGTTTTACCTTGTGTATTTTTGTAAATATTTGTATTTACACTTTATTATTTGTAAATACACTTTATTAATATCCATACTTACCAAATGTTACTGTATTGAAATATCCCAGTGTGATTTTCTATAAAAAAATCAAAGAAAATTATATAAATTTTTTTAAATAAAAAGATTTATCAAAATGTTACAGTAAAAGAAATCCAAATACAACACAGACTCAATTCAAATTATGTGAAGGGTGAACATATCTTCCAGAAAAATATTTGCAAGCAACCATTAACTAGTTTGAGAATGAAGATTTTGGATTTATAAAAAATATTTTCAGTTATTCTAAGAAAAATACTAGAAAATGACCTTTAATTGCTTTAGTGAATATTAATTATATAGTGCTTCAATTATTTTAAAGCAGCATACAAACATTTTAAACGTTTGCTCAGAATTATATGGCTGTTCAGATTCTTCCCAGCAATCCCGTTAGGTTGTAAGAAACAAATTCACAATGTTCAGTTTTCACGAAATCTGAAAAACAGATTCAGGCCTAACTATCATTGTATAGAGATCTGCATGGCTATCATTATTTTAATAATCCTGATTATTGTGTTCATTCTTACTAAAACAGAACTGTAAATCTCATTTCATTCTTTGCACCTAGAAAAGAGTTTGCAGTCATAGCAGCTGATACTTGGGGACAACTAAAGTATTACTGCTACCATACTACCCTTGTTGTAACCAGATGTGTTGAACCTTTATAATTGTTGGCTGGCAATTCCAGAAATTGTAATCCAAGACATTTTAGACATAAAGTTGGAGAAAGCTGCATTATACAATGAAGACCAGTTCAATAAAAATTTTCAATATCAAGAGAAGTTCAATACAATATTTCTTCATTATTTTATCAAGACAACTTATGAGTAAAATTAGAAAAGCCAATTACTAAAATATTAAAATGAAAGCCATTTTGTTTCTCTATAGAAATTTGCCCAACTTAATTCAAAGAACCATTTTAAAATTCCTCATCATTCCCACAAGGGAAAGCAATGTTTCCAAAGAGCTTGGAGAATTTCTTATTTTATTACTGCATCTTTTTGTGGGCTTTACCATGCAACTCCCCAGCTGATAATTTAACTTTATGATATTGGGTGGGTGTTGCCCAACAACGTTTAGCGCCCCAGACTATTTTAAAGAAGAAAATTCTGTCAAACATACATTTCAATGCTTAATAATTGAGGCACTTTACTATCCTGGAAGAGTTCTGAATCCACACACTATCGAGGCAAAGTTGACTTGCATATTAAATAACTTTACAATTTCGGCGTTAAAGTAAAAGCAGGAATATACTTACACCCATATAGTAAACTATCTAATGAAGGTTCATTATTAATTTTCAGAGCATCCAATGAGCTAGTTGACAATCCATGGACATGCATTATACCCAACCCTGTTTTCCACCGTGAGTAATAATAATCTTCCCCACCGGGACCAAACCTGAAAATACATTCAGGAACAGAAGCGTAAACAGCAGCCTCCCCGTTGCAAAGGGCTCCAAATGGGGGCCCAGCAGACACAAAGGGCTGATGGATGGCACGCAGCAGTGACGTGGCAGAGGAGGCAGGCGCAAGACCTGGAGCCATACTGCTGTTGACGTGCCGCCTGGCCTCTTTTCCCCACCTCCTCGCGGACTCTTCCACGTTGAACCCAAAAAAATCTAAATATCCGCGGCCAGAACATACTGGCCACACTTCTGCCTTTTCTCCTGCGTAACCTATTTTTACCTCTCTTTGCACCCGCACTTAGCAGTACTGAGCGGGCCTTGCTCTCTTCCCGGGGGAGAAAACCTCTAGACGCTGCATTAATTCCCCCCCCCCTCCGTTCTCTCTCCTTGCCTTCCAATCAAAGCAGCAGCCAATGCTGCTGAAACTGGCTCTGCAGGGAAGGCTGGTGGATATTTAAACAGTTAAGATCTACCGACAACGCCATTAAGGGGAGCTTCTACATTGATCCGAGCTTTCTCGATTTCCGCTGGAAGGCGGCGATCCGAGGAAATTGCCCTCCGGAGAATATTTCACACCCCCCCCCCCGAACGCTGCAACGCTCCCCTCGGAACCTTGGGAGCGCACGGCTGCTCAGTCAAGATCAGGGAAGAACCACAACTCCCTGCTTGAGGCTTTCCCTTTCCCAACAACTCCAAGAGCGGTCCCCTTGTCCTCAGTGGGCTTCTCACGTTCCCCCTTGCTAGGGATGGCACCTAGCGGGAAACACCTTTCGTCCACATCCAGAACAGTTCTGGGGCCAATTTTGCACGGACAGCGTTTCAGCTCCCTTGTGCCCAAAAGCGGTCCTTTACCTGCGCCCCATCCTGTCTCGCTCCCACTTTCGCGGCCCCAGCCGGCAAGAGACCCCGGCCTCGCCAAGCGGCGGAGGGGGGCAAGCGACAGGCCCCCGTCCCATTCTTCTTCCACCCCGGAAGGAAAGGGGTGGAGAAGATGCCCCAGGCAACTCCACCCCGCATTTTCTGCGCAAAGCCCAGAGGAGGCTGGAGACTAGGAGGCCACTTTCCAAACTCACCTTGCTGGGATGTCCGCGCCGCTAGGTTCAGCACGTCGGAGGACTTGACCAGGCAAACCCGAATCGACTCCGACCCCTTGGCGGCTGCTTCTTCAGCGCTTGCCGACGTGGCGCCCTACGCACCTCGCTCGTCCCCGCCTGCAGAACCCGCCCCAGGCCGGCCCCCCGCGCCCCCCGGCGGGGCTCTAGAGGGGCGCGCAGGCGCTTGAGCCCGACCGGGCCGTCTCAGAACTGAACTGCCTCTCCTCCGCTTCAACTTTCTTGTTCTTCTCTTCCTCCTCTTCTGAGAACGATGCTAAGGAGCCAATGGCAGGAATGAAATTGACAGCAGCGATCAATAATTCCTCTTCCCTCTGCTTCTTGCTTCACCTTGAGCGCCCTGCCGCGGCTGGAAATTACGGCAAGGGTATTGAATAACGACCTGAGCTCGTTGCAAATTATTACCCCTTCTCTCAAGTAGGCTCCTGACAGCTGCGTGTCAGGCTGAAGTTCAATAAGTGCAACTGTGTTCGCTATGGATTATGATCTAGTTTTGCCTGAAGTTGCTAAAGGCAAGGGAGAGACCCGAAGGAAGAAAAGGACGAGGTTATGACATGATCTGGTGTCAAGGAGTTTTTGCCAGCCATATAGCCAGTGCTTGGAAATGGGGATGGCTGCTGTGAAACTGTTACTTAAAGGCCCTGGAAAGTAGGAACAAATACTGGATAATTTTAGATTATATTAGATTCTGCATTTAAGAATACAGGGGGCCTGTAGGCCTTTTGTTGCTTCTTGTTGATACACATTAGTAAATATATATGTAACTAAAGCAAATACATCCAATACCTTCAATTAGTGTTTGTTGATTTGAGTGTAACAGTAACCAGTAGAGTTTATGGGGTGGGATGTCCATCCATCTTTGGGGAGAGGCAATGTTTTTGACCAGTAAGAATTGACAATTTCAGCAGCATTTTTCTTCCAGTCTCCTAGCTGCTTGATTGCAACTTTCTGGACGAATTGGTTTTTCTTTTCTCTCCTCATCCCTTTTTCACTTTTGTTGTGTTCTCCATCCTCTTCTGAAAGTAGGGAATGTCTTTATTGTACTACTATCTTGAGAGCATTTCCAACAAATGGAAAAACCGTTTACCGTAACCATTTAAAAAAGTAATACAGCAAAGATAGAAATAGGATTGACAGCCAGTCATGGGCTGGAGATTAGCATAACTTTGTGTTCAGCAGAGTTCAAAGGTTTAACAATGTTACTGGTTGTAATGTTATGATTTCTTAGTAGGACTGTGTGGTCTGAAAATAATTTGGAAAAACAATAACAAGGGTTCAGTCTCCATATATAAACCACCTTCCTCATCTATACCTTAAAGCAGTTTGATTCTTCAAGCTTCTATGCAGCCTGAAAACAAATGTTGCTATGGCTTAAAAGTTGCATTTATCTCTGCAACTTAATTGTGATAGTACTTGTTCCCTTTTTCAGACAGAAGTCAATTGCTTTGTGGTAATTATCTGGTGGTCCTGGAGAATATAAAAATAGACCAAAAACTGAGATAAGAAATCACCTGGGAGGTCAATTTGATTAGTTTCCAAATGACAAACTTCTATGAGGCCTACTAAAACAATGTTTTTCCCCTGCCTGTGTTGGAAATCAGATTGGAATGACCAAAGTAGCGGTTTCTGACAGGATTGCTAGAAATCAGGCATCATTGTGGCCTCAAGATTTAGTTATTTTACATCCAAAGGCAAAATTGGTCTGCTGATATGCAAGATTATTTTTTTCAACAAGTGAGCTGGTATTGCCTTCTTCGGTACAACAGGTACTTCTTCTGTAATTATATGTTTACAATGGGATTATTTGCCTGTTACATCAAAGCTGCATCTTTAGCTGCAGGAATATAAGAACAATTTTCTCAGACTTACTAGTCTTTCTAGTGAGGATCTGAATGCAGGTAGTCCTTGACTGATGACCACTCACTTAGTGACTATTCGAAGTTACAATGGACCTCCTCAGAACTACTTACAACCTGGTTTTGAAGTTCTGACAGCTACCCCTTCCAGTCAAGTGATCACATTTTGAGCACTTGGCAACCAATCCACTCTTACAACTATTTGCAGTGTCTCATGAACATGTGACTATGATCACGTGACTGGTGTTTTCTGGTTCCCAACAAAAAACACCCATTAGTTAAAATAGATTTGCTATAACCGTGACATTTGCTTAATAAAAAAGATTGTTATAAGGTGTCCCGTTTGACAGATATGACTTATGACTAATTCTGGATCCAATTACAGTCATAAGTCAAGGACTACCCGTACTGAATTTATTTTAAACGGTTCTCTCCTATTCTTTGCACTAGAGAATAGTTACAGAGATCATATTCTCTCAGCTCATAATTCCTCTTTGTACTGTCAAATACAAGATCTATCTGGAGCAAAGTCCCACATTCAGCTGAAATACAAATTCATTTAAAAAAAAACAAATCACATTCTTCATTGCAATTCTCACATTAAGACATTTTGTTCTGTATTTATTATTTAGAACATAGAATAATAGAATTGGAAGGGACTTCAGAAGTTTAGTCCAAGCCCCTGCTCAAGCAGGAGACCCTATACCAGTGATGGCGAACCTTTTAGAGACCAAGTGCCCAACCGCAACCCAAAACCCACTTATTTATTGCAAAGTGCCAGGGTCGCATCAGCATTGTGGTGCTCCCAGGGGGGGAAGGGAGGCACCTCTGAGTACTGCCTCTGGCATGCAAAAACTGGGGGCACAAAAATGGGCCACCGTGCTGCAAGGCGCAAAAATATCTGCCACCGCACCACAGGGTGCAGATACAAGGTGCTGCACCATGTAAGAACGGGGCAGAGCTAATGACTATCATGCAGGCACTAGCCCCGCCCCATTTGCAGCGCATGCATGCTCGCAGCCCCGTGCACACATGCACACATGTAAAATGCTTCCCCCTCCCTTTTCTTCCAATCCATCAATCGACAATGGTTGGTGACCTCTGCTCTACCACCTCTACTGGAGCTTGCTAATCGGCCACTTTGCCTCCTTTGTGCTGGGCGGGGCTCCTGCTCCAGGCGGCGGTGGCAACCTGATGGACCTGCTGCTGCTGGTGGTGGTGCGTGTGCCAAAAGAGAGGGCTCTGAGTGCTGCCTCTGGCATGTGTGCCATAGGTTTGCCACCACAGCCCTATACCATTTCAGACAAATGGTCATCCAGTCTCTTTTTGAAAGCCTCCAATGAAGAAGCATCCACAATTTTTGAAGGCAAGCTGTTCCATTGGTTGATTGCTCTCACTGTTAGGAAATTTCTTCTTAATTCTAGGTTGCTTCTTTCCTTGGTTAGTTTCCAACCATTGTTTCTTGTCTTGCCTTTTGGTGCTTTGGAAAATAGTTTGACCCCCTCATCTTTGTAGGAGCTCCTTAAATATTGGAACAGTGCTATCATGTCCCCCCAGTTCTTCTTTTGATTAGACTAGACATATTCAATTCCTGTAACCATTCTTCGTAGATCCAGCCCCCTAATCATTTTGATGCTCTTCTCTGCATTCTTTCCAGAGTCTCAACATCTTTTTTGTATTGAAATTTAAAAATCAATTAGGTTAAAATGGACAACTACAGAAATTGAATGAATGAATGAATGAATGAATGAATGAATGAATGAATGAATGAATGAATATAGTATTTTGTTTTGGGGCTTTAAATAGACAATTCAATGAATATTATTTAAAGAACTCTGAATGAGTTCACAGTGCAGAATCAAAGTAGGGTTACTGTCTCTTTCTAGACAAAGGTGCTGCACCATTAATAGCTGCATAAAATATGGCAGTTCTCTATTATTATCAAATAGCCTAATAAGACCTACCTGTTATCTGAACAACTATGAGAGACATAAATACAGCAACAGTTGCACAACATAGAGATGTGATAGTAAACTAGTGTGTTTAAAAGCACCAAAATAAAAAGAACTCCTTTATACTTTATACTGTCAGATAAATGGCCAAATATACATATGAAGATTTATATATAATTTGCTTATTTTTATTGTGTCATTTTTTTACAATTGAGGTAGCACACTTACATAATATTCTTTCCGCCTCCTAATTTCCCCACACAACATCAATCCTGTGAGGTTGGTTGGGCTGAGAGAGAGTAACTGGCCCAAAATCACCAAGCTAGCTTTCATGGTAAGGTGGGACTAGAACTCACAATCGCCTGGTTTCCGACATGGCGCCTTATCCACTAATCCAAACAACCTCTACATACTAAATGCTTGATACTAAATTCCATCAAGTCAATGGTGTTTACAGGTAATTCTCAATTTACAATCATAATTGAGTGCACATTTGTGTCGCTAAATGAGACAGTTATTAAGTGAATCATGCCCCATTTTACAACATTATTGCCATGGTTATTAAGTGAATCACTTCAGTTCTTAACTAAATCATGCAGTTGTTAAGCAAATCTGGCTTCCTCTATTGACTTTGCATGTCAAAAACTCCCTAGGAAGGTTGCAGATGACAATCTCAACACCCCGAGATACTGCAACCATTGTAAATACATGCCAGTTGCTAAGGACTCAAAATTTGATCACATAACAGTGGGGAAGCTGCAAATGTCACAAATGTGAGAACTAGTCATAAATCACTTGTTTTCAGTGCTATTGTAACTTTGAACGGTCCTTAAACAAATGGTTGTAAGTCGAGGACTACTTGTATAGTACTCTGCAAGCTTTTTTTTCAGAGAAAAAAAATGACTCAAATGAGTAGAATAGAATAGATTGATTCATTTAGCCAATTTCTATGTAATGCAGGCTTTAGAATCTTCATCCTCCAAAGGCCATGGTAATTTTTCAGAACACACTGCCGAATTACTGTTTTCAATATGAAAAAAAAGCAAAATTAGTAAATACTGGGGGAATACAATTAACTATAATTAAGTTAATCTAATTGAAACAGTTTCCATTTATTTATTTATTTATTTATTTATTTTCTGCCCATCTTGCCCATCAGTTTACAACATTAAAATCCATGAGACCATAAAGCATAAATATTTCTAAAGACCAGGTTGCTGACCTGTGGGTTATACTGACAGGCAGCATGTCTATGGAGATTCTCAGTCATGGTTGTCCCAAAGGATGAGAAGTGAAATGTCTTCAAGGAAAAGCAAAGTCTAGTTGCCTCTCGAAAAATACACCTTTGGGACTGCCAGACAGCTCCTATCCAGTTCTAAGACTGATATCTTTTCCTCAGACTTAGAGAGATAAGCTGGGAATCTGAGCCCTTCTGCATGTAAAATGTAACATTTCTAGGACAGAACAGTAGAAATAAATGATACAATAATATGCAAGTTAGAATTATGCTGAGTACCACATACGGGAATTTATTCCTAAAATGTAACTCAGTGAAAGAGCATATGCTTTGTGTTCAGGTTAAAGGGATAAGAAAGATCAGTCATAGCAAGGGTGTCAAATTGCCAGCCGCGGGCCGGTTGCATCATACGGAGGTCGTGCCCACCCCAGCTCTGGCAATGCAAATAAAGCCACAATACATCCTGACACATCATGTGATGTGGCGAGTTTGACATCCGTGAGTCATAGTATAATGCAAATCAGTTTTTCAGCCTCAGCAACTTTAAATGGGTGGACTTCAATCCCAGATTGCTGGAAAATTCTGGAAATTGAAGTCCACCTGTGTTAAAGTTGCTGAGGTTGAAAAACACCGATGTAGACATAGT